CGATTCGTTCCATCTACTGCAGGGGGATTAATAAGTTGTTTGTTGAAAACAGTGGTTATCGTTATATACTCGTTGTAATTGATGTCTTTAGCAAATATGCATGGGATGTTCCGGTAAAAACTAAATCGGGTAAAGATGTTACTAAAGCAATGAAAAGTATTCTAAAGTATCGATATGTACCAAAAAATCTTCAAACTGATCTAGGAAAAGAGTTTTATAACAAAGAATTTAGCTTGCTTATGAGTAAGTTAAAAATGAATCATTACTCAACGTTTAGATCATTGAAAGCATCTGTTGTTGAACGTTTGAATAGAACTTTAAAAGGTTTAATGTGGAAAGAATTTAGCATTCAAGGATCTTTTAAATGGTTGAATTTAATACCACAGATACTATTAATGTACAATTCACGTAAACATTCAACTATAGTTATGAAACCGATTGAACAGATCCGGACTATGCCTGGTTATCTGTTGTAGGAAGGTGGTGAAGTAAAGACGAGTAGATAATTAATTCATACTGATTTTTATTATAAAAATTTTCAGTTTATATACAAAACCTTAAAACTACAATGTGCGATTGATTCCAAAACAATCGTGTCTTATTTACAAAAATTAAATTTAATAATTATTTTGCGTCCTCGATTATTGTTTGAGCACTACCGATATCGATCCTTAATCGGCAATTGATCGATGGACCTGCTGAGTTGCAGCGCTTCGTCAGGTGTTGTTGCGACCGCTAACTGGGTCGGTTCGAACCTTGCGTTATCACTATTTTAATTTATTTCCTAATTTGTTTCTAATATTAAAAAAAATCTTTTTTGTTTAATTAAGATTATACAAGCTGCGACGCCCAAGAAACGAACGACGCTTCACATTTACTTCACTTCACTTCCACAATTAGTTTGCGGTGCTGCTACTGATTCATGCGATGGTGAATGTCAGCGTAAATCGGTTCCAAATTGATCTCGTGCGCTGAATGACCCAATGTCTGCAATGGGATTCCCTTTTCGGCATCCGTTGATTTGGATTTCTTGGTAGCAGGTCTTTTCTTCTTTCGGTAACTTAGACAGTATCGCCCAATTATCCATGTGAGGATTGCTGCAATCAGGACTACTGCCGTTGTCGTGAAACTTGAGACAATAGAGTGACGTTTTACTCGGTGCCAAGTTGACTCATGAAGCTCTTTCTCTTCGTCTATTAATTTCGACGGGTCATCTGACGTTTTGATGACTGTTTCTTCTTTTGTTTCTGTTGAGATCTTTGATCTTGGAGCACTAAGGTGTAGGGAGAGATTCACCGGATGATTGAAGCTCTGTAGAACTGTCAACGAAGTGTGTCTTGATGGTGTAATGATGCTTTGTTTGGTAGTAATGATGCATTCCTGACTTATCTGAATAACGCCAGTAGTGTTCAGAGATACATCTTCTCTAATGCCGTTGCAGGTGACTGCCACCTTAAATGGTTTAGTCGATATAAACATCCACGTGTTTTTCATGTACAACTGCTTCCATATGACAGACTTAATTGCGTGCTCACGAGTTTGACATGTTGTCCTTTCTTAACGCCGATAAATCTCGTTTATCACACAATTTGGTGCATTCTCAATGTTCTTCACCGAAGCTGGTACACATAGGTATTGTGTTTCCTCCATCATGATACATTCTTTGAACTCTTGGTCGCTCATTTGGAAGTACAGTTGTGTGTTGTAATCGATGGCTATTAAATTGTTGTCGACGTCTAAAGTCCAGTAGGATGTGTCTTCAATCTTTAAGGGTACGGTATTTACTTTGATAACCGTAAATTCGACGACTTCCGCCATTGGAAAGTAGGTGTGTATTATTATGTCGTTCTGGTCGTGTATGACTTTGGTTTTTATCATTGGATGTTGAAGGATTTGAATGTTGGATTTAAGTTTGGCGTTTGTGGAGTTGATTACTTGGTTGATGGAAGCAGGAGATATGATGTCAAAAAGGCTTCCTTGATTTAGAGTGATGTGCATCACTTTCGTGTAGTAGTCGCTAATTTCGTTGAGGATGTTAATTACGATGTGATATGAATTTAATACGTGAAGGTTCAGTTCATTCACATCTATTTTGCTAAACCATCTCACCATTCGGTACATGACTTGTAGACCTTGATCCAACTTCTGGCGAAACCGTTCTAGGTGAGCATACATCTTGGCTTCAGTGATGTTAATTGTGGCTAGAGCTGAGACCATAAATTTGGTTTGGTGACTCGATGCTCTTATCAACTCTTTCTGATTGACTTCCAGCGTGTCGATGTTTCTGTATACTTCGTCGTTGACTCCAAAGATGCTTGTTAACAGGTTACCCAGAAGATCTCTTTTGTGCCTCTGATGAAGGATCGCCTTTAAGCCTTGGTGTGTCCAATTCAAATGCTTTTCTTCTTCATCCAGATGATGTAGAAGATTCTCGCACAGATTTTCTCCCATTCTCGTGACATTGTTGCATAAGTAACGAAAATCTTGTACTGCGTTTGACGCTGTCTCCATGTCAATAGTTATTCTTGTCTTATTTATTTTTGTGTCGATGCGGAATAGACCTCTTTCAATCTTGACGTATCCGATGTATTCGATATACAACCCGGATTTCAAGTAGTGACCATTATAGTTAGCCGCCGTTGCATTTTGGATCGTGACTAATAACAGCATCATTGTTACTACCATTTTAATTCTATTTGTGGAATTCGATATTGGTCGAGGTGGTAGATATTGAAGTCTTCCATTGTTACAGCTAATGTTCTCCTTTTGATGATCCTCATGATTTTTATCTTCAGTAGGGAGAGGAATCAAATTGTGGATGCTGCGTTTTAGTGTAGCACCTCCTGCTTTCTTGAGAGTTACTACTCTTACGGTGCCATCGGCTGCGGGATGAGTTTCAGTAATTTTGGCTAATGGCCATTTGCCGGGGTCGACGATGTTATCTTTTAAGATTACCATGTCTGCAGGTTGAAGATTTTCTTCTCGTGAAGTCCATTTTAATCTTTGTTGTAATCTACTCAGGTATTCTCGAGACCATGACTGCCAAAAGTCACTTTTCATTTTTTGGACGAGCTTCCATCTTGTCGAGAGATTCCCGTGTATATGTGACCTTTCTTCTGGTCTTGCGATGATTGGTCTTCTAATTAAAAGTGATCTGGAGTAATTACTTCTTCTGTGACGTCTTCGCTGATTGGAATCAGTGGTCATGAATTCAAACAGGCTTCTATTTGATATAGCAACGTTGTTAACTCTTCGAAGGTCAGGGTTGAATCTCCAATTACACGTTTCAAATGGTGTTTAATTGATTTTACACCGGCTTCCCAAATTCCTCCAAAGTGAGGAGCTGCGGGCGGAATGAAGTGCCACTGAGTTCCTTGTACTGTCAGGGCATTTTTAACTTCGGGTTTTGACGTTATTGATGTTACTTCTCCTCCTAATATTTTGTGAGCGCCTACGAAGTTCGTCCCATTGTCGCTGTACATGTGAGCACAGTGACCTCTTCTCGAGACAAATCTTCGGAACGCTGCTATAAATGCTTTTGTTATCATGTCGCTGACCGCTTCTGTATGGATCGCTCTGGTGGTTAGACATACGAAGACTGCAATCTATCCCTTATATGATTTGTAACCTCTTCCTTTCGTAGTCCTTATTTGAATAGGACCGGCGTAGTCGACACCAGTGTGTGTAAATGGAGGAGATGGTGTGATTCTAGGGCTTGGTAATTCACCCATCAGCTGTTTGGCTGTCTCTGCCTTGTACCGTATGCATTTTACACAATTTCGAATGCATTTTTGTACCGCTCTCTTTCCATTGATAATCCAGAATCTTATGCGAAGATGTGCGAGAGTTAATTGATTTCCATCATGTAATGTTGATCTGTGCGCATTGTGTATTAGTAGTGTCGAGAGATGAGAATAATATGGAAGAATGATTGGGTGTTTTTCTTCGTAAGATAACAAGGATTTTTGAAGTCTACCTCCAACCCTTAATATCCCATAGTTATCCAAAAATGGAAATAGTTTGGATATCTTGCTTTTCTTGTCGACTTGAGAATTTTTCTGTAGTGATCTTATTTCTTCCTGGTATTCTTCTTTTTGTACTTCTTCTACAATTTTTATTAACGTTGTCTTCATCTCTTCGACCGTAAGATAATCTTCTGTTTTAGTTGATTTTCGGCAATTGTTTATGAATCTTCCGCAGTAGGCAAGCACTCGAACCATTGTTGTTAGAGAAGAGAATCGTTCTAGGATTAGTTTGACTTCTCCCAATTATTGATGACAACTGACAATTCCTTTTGATTTTGTTTCTTCTTCTGTTGTCAAATTTTCGTCGTTTTTTGGCCACTTTTCTTCTGTTTGTAACCAAGCTGGACCAGTCCACCACAATGAATGCTTTGCTAATCTCTCGGGCTCAATTCCACGTGATATGATGTCAGCTGGGTTATTGGCAGTATCTACATGTCTCCAACAATCTTTTGTAATTAGCCTGTTGATTTCTGCTACTCGATGTGCCACAAACGTTTTCCATCTTATCGGGTCGCCTTTTATCCACGCTAAGGTGATTGTTGAATCTTACCAAGTAACAACGGTGGTATTTTCTCTCAACTCCAGGATTGTAAGTGTTCGCTTGACTAGTTTGGCCAGAAGAACCGCTGCGCATAGCTCCAGTCTTGGAAGAGTAATTTTTGATCGTGCTGGCGCCACTTTGGACTTTGCAGTGAGTAGCGTTGTTCGTGACTGACCATCGTTTTCTATACATCTTACGTACACCACTGCGCCATATGCTTTTTCTGACGCATCGCAGAATCCGTGTAGTTCGATGTTATTGTCTTTAGTAGTTTTGAGCCATCTTGGTAGTTTTATTTCTTCTAGCTGTTCTAATTGTGCTTGAAAATTCTTCCACTGATCTTTAATATTGACTGGAACAGGTTGATCCCATTCCACGTTCTGTATCCATAGATTTTGAATTAGAAGTTTGGCTCTGATTATGACAGGTGATAGCTAACCTAAGGGGTCATATAGTTTTGCTATCTCTGATAAGATCATCCTTTTTGAGGGAGCATCGTGTCTTGTTGTGTTTACTTTGAAACGGAAGGTGTCCGATTGTGGTGCCCAATATACACCTAAGGACTTTGTGGGCCAATCTTCGGTAATTTCCTTTTCGTTTTGTTCTTTCAATTCATTTGATAGTGATGAAAGAAGTTCTTCTCTATTGCTGACCCATTTTCTTAGTGTAAAACCTCCAGCTTTCAGCATCTCGATCAGTTGTTGTTGTATATCGCAGGCTTCTTGAATTGAATCAGCTCCAGAGAGGACGTCATCTACGTAAACATCACGCAGAGCGACTTGTGAGGCTTTCGAATAATTATCTTCTTCATCTCGAGCTAATTGTTGTAACGTTTGGACCGCAATGTATGGTGCCGCTGTAGTCCCATACGTTACTGTTGTCAATTTATATTCTTCAATCGGAGAATGTTTGTTGAATCGCCACAAGATCCTTTGATATTGTTGATCTTCTTCGGCCATTCTAATCTGACGATACATTTTCTCTACGTCTGCTGAGAAAACGATTTTATGGGTACGCCAACGTAGCAAAATATCTGCGATTTCTTGTTGTAATCTCGGGCCAGTGTGCATGAAATCGTTGCGACTCTTGCCGTTAGAGCTTTTACAAGATGCATCAAATACCACCCGTAGTTTTGTAGTGGTGCTTGATGGTCTTAGTACCGCTTGGTGCGGAATGTAGTATTTTCCTGGGCTGTCTTCTTCTGAGATCTTCTCCATGTGACTCAGTTCAATGTATTCTGTTATGAACTTATCGTATTGTGATTTCAGCTCATCATTCTTTACAAGACGATTTTCTAATTGGAATAGTCTTGCTGTCGCCCTGGATTTAGAGCATCCTAGTACTACTTTTGTCTTGAATGGTATCTTCACGGTGTAAGTTCCATCCTTGTTTCTTTTTGTGGTTTGATGATAATATTTCTCGCAATCTTGTTCATCTTCGGACTTTTGTTTTGGTTGTTCCACTTCTTCTATTTCCCAAAACCTGATCAATTGCTTTTCTTCTTCTACGCGACTGACGAAACAAGTGACTTTGGTTGCGGATGGACATTGTTGTTTCAGATGACCGGACAAAATCCAGCCTAGTTTTGTTTTTTGACCCAATAATCCATCGGTTGTCTTTTGAAGACCTTCTTCTAGAATGTTTCCATATTCTTGTGCCCCAATGATTGCGTCGATAGGGCCTGGAATGTTGTACGTCGGATCAGCAAGGATTTTATTAATTATTTCTTGTGAATTTTGTTCTGGTAACTTTTTGCTTGGCAAGGATTGCGTAAGTTTTGGTAACACAAGAAATGTCGTAGGCATGGAAAAGTTACTTGGATAATGAGGTTGAATAGGAAATTGAATCTTCCATTTCGATGTTTTTGGACTTCCATCACCTAGCCCGGAGATTTCTGCGCGTACCTTCTCTCTGGGATAGGATAGTAGGTGAGCTGCTGATTCTGTTATGAAGGATGCTTGACCTCCTTGATCAACCAGAATCCTTAGATACTGCATTGTACCGGAAGCTGATCTTGCTTTTACAAGGGCCGTTGCTAGCAATACTGTGTCGCGGTTCTCGCTAGCATGATTGCTGCTTATATTAATATTTGTTTGTTCCTCATTTGTTTGAGAAACGTGAGCTGTTATTTTGGTACTGGGACTGGGGATTTTTTTCTCGTCCCTGCGCAATAACGTATGATGAGGCTTCTTACACTTCAAACATCGTTTGGTACTGTTACATGTGCCTGTGAATTTGTGACTCAGGCAGTTTCGACATAGATTTTTCGTGTTCACAAATTCTTCCATTTTCTTTCCGGGAAGTTCTTGAAATTTGGAACAGGAATGTATGTAATGATCTCCTCCGCAATATCTGCATGTTTTATTTTGTTCGTACTTTGTTTGTTGTGTTGGTACTTGATGTCTTTTTGTTTTTTCGCCAATTGCTTCTAGCGATTGGAATCGTGTCTGAAGGAATTCCATTAGCTCTTGAAATTCTTGTATCTTATTAGGATCTTTTAGAGATTGTTCATATAATTTGTTGGTTTCGTTGTCCCATTTGCGTACTAAGATTCTGCTGATCATTGGACCCCATGGTTCTGTCACAATCCCAATATTACTAATGGCTTGTAGGCATTCTGAAGTAGTGTCGTGCAGTTCTTTGATCTTCTCGGATGATTCGATCGATAATTTTGGAAAGTCAAGTATTTTATCCAGTAGCTTGGACAAAATTAATCGATTATTTTGGTAGCGATGTTGAAGTAAAGCCCATGCGGCATCATAGTTTGTTTCGGAAATGTTGAGATGTTGTATTATTCTGCTCGGTTCCCCTTTCAGATGAGTTTTTTAAGTACTGCATTTTTTCCACATTGGTTAAGGATTGATTAGAATGGATTATTTTAAGGTAAAGGTCGTGAAATGTTGTCCAGTTTTCATACAATCCATCAAATATGGGCAGTTTTATTGTTGGGAGAGGAATGATCGGATTTTGAGTTGTAGGTCTTACAGATTCATAAGGTTCAGAGGTAATCTTTTGTAGTTGTTCCATTACGGAATGAAATATTTCTTCACAGTTCAAGAATTTTTCTTCTTTGAAGTATTTGGATTTGAACTTGGTTTCGAATACCTGAATATCTTCTTCCAATCTTTGGATGTTGTCCATTTGTTCTTGAATTTGTTTCTTCAAGTAGTCGTAAGTGCTTTTTGGTTTTCTTAGTTTTAGCTCGTTCTCAATCTTGGCGTGAAGTTTCATCAGCTTCTCTATCCGGACCTCTTGTCTCTTGATACGTTGAGCTTGCTCGATGTCTTCGTTTTCTTCTTTTGAGGACGGCAGGATTTCCTCTTCTTCTCTATCTTCTCCCGGGGATTGCTCGGTTTGATCTCTTGGGATCTCCGCCAATTGGTTCATAACCTCTTGGTATAGTTTCTTTAGTTGCGTAATATAGTTTGTGGTGAAATATGCGTGAGTCGGAGCATCGAATTCTTCCAACTTGTTGTGAGCTTCTTCGATTTCCATCCATAGTTCTTGTAGCCTTTTCCGACGTTGTTGAATGTATTTTTCATTTTTTCTTGATTGGGAATCTTTTTTTATGTTTGTTTGTAGTTTTTTGATTTCTTGCCCCAATTCTTGCTGGCGCATTGCATATTTGTTCAACTCTTGTTCGGACATTATGACACGATTTTTTTTTTTTTGAGTTGGTGTAAAAAGGATTTTGTTTTGAAAGGTATCTCTACTGAAGAACAGTCTCACTCTCCGTAACGGCAATTTGGCTTAAGCCGTAGAGTAGTTTAGTAAGTCGTTGGTTTGTTGTCGAAGGACCATAAACAGATCCGGACTATGCCTGGTTATCTGTTGTAGGAAGGTGGTGAAGAAAAGACGAGTAGATAATTAATTCATACTGATTTTTATTATAAAAATTTTCAGTTTATATACAAAACCTTAAAACTACAATGTGCGATTGATTCCAAAACAATCGTGTCTTATTTACAAAAATTAAATTTAATAATTATTTTGCGTCCTCGATTATTGTTTGAGCACTACCGATATCGATCCTTAATCGGCAATTGATCGATGGACCTGCTGAGTTGCAGCGCTTCGTCAGGTGTTGTTGCGACCGCTAACTGGGTCGGTTCGAACCTTGCGTTATCACTATTTTAATTTATTTCCTAATTTGTTTCTAATATTTAAAAAAATCTTTTTTGTTTAATTAAGATTAAACACCGATAGAAGAGAATAATAATAATACTGAGAAAAGATTACTGGATACATAATCCGATGTCGAATATAATCGAATGAAAACAACCACATTAAAACAAAAATTTTACTTGAATGATTTTGTAACAATTTCTAAACATTGTGGAATATTTGCCAAAGGGTACACTCCTAACTGGAGTAATGAAGTCTTCAAAATTGTTAAGATTCAGTACACCAATCCAGTATCGTATTTATTACAGTACTTGAAAGGTGAAGATATTAAAGTAGCTTTCTATAGTGAAGAACTACAACGTACACACTATCCTGACATACAATTAATTGAAAAAGTATTGAAACGAAAAGGAAATCGAATGTACGTTAAGTGGTTTGGAATGGATGAAAGAAGTTGGATTAAAAAATCAGATTTTGTATAACAATTACACTTTTTTAAATAAAACAACTACTTAATATTAAAATTTATTTATTTACCATAAATCTTCTATTATATTATCATTACCATAATCACTATCACTAGTATTCCATTCTAGGTGTGAAAATGAGAAATATAATTAAAAAAAATTTCCATATCATAATTATTATCCTTAAATCTAAATAACGCTATAAAGCAAGAGTTGCAAAATGATGCTTTATATACTCTATATAATTGAATAAATTATCAAATGATAATTCGTAGTATCTATACTTCCATTTTTTATGTACTTTCTTAAATTACTTCTCAATCTAAAGCTATTAATCTTTTCAAAACAAGCTAAACATAAAGCACCGTCTGGAGTGTGAATAGAAATTCTTAAAATGGAAGAAGCATTTGACAGGTATCTGTTTATAAAGTTCTCTTTCTCAAGTCTATCACCAATACATCTAATGGTATTAAAAAATATCTTAAAAATTCTCTGTATCTTGATAAGCATAACGATTCAAAATTATAAACATTTTCTAAATAAGCTTCTATATCTAAATCTAAACAATTATCATAAAACATGTAGATTTTCCAAACGTTAAACCAACTAACCCATACTTTATTATACACAGTTTTAGGGAGTAATATTCTGTACTTACCTAGATAATATCTTTTTTCACAACTCATACGAACCTTTATTAATGATAACGTAAACAATGTCTTAACCATTTCTAAAAGTTTAATATGGAGCTATCTGTTAATCGATTGGTTCTCGTTACAACATTTACATTCACCTTTATATACGTTATATACTGTCTCTCTCACCAATACGCAGAACGGAAATTATATTATTTTTATTATTATCATGAATACCATTCAATTAAGTATTTACACACCTAGTCATAATTGGAACACGAGTCATTAATCTTAATTTTTTTTATATTCACGGTCACCTAGTGCATTTTTTGCTATATTCATTCACCTTTCATCAATATCCTTCTTCGTATCCTTCATCAATATAGTACACAACTAAATCTTCTTTAAATTTAACACACTTCATTAATTCTCCTTTCACTTTCGCACACCTAGTCCTAATTGGATCACGAGTTATTAATCTTAATTTTTATAATTATATTGACGGTCACCGTACTTTTACCTATACTTAAAAAATTAACATTCCCTCCACCTTCAGTAGTACCAACATAATTGAGATTCATTGGTAACATGTAAAATGAAAATCACTAAAAGTTACTAGATTTTTGACCGCCATATTGGCATTTCAGCCAATCACAGAGCGCAAAATATGGGATAATCCTGATCCAGAACTCTCCTTATACTACTCACCTATCCGGGAACACTGTATATTAAAATATAAAAAATAAATAGAAGTTAATAGTTAAGAATATCTGTTAAGAATATATTCAGTAATGTAAAACAATATTGCTACAATATTATTTGAGTGAATAGGCGATGAAATTCCACCCTAAGCACCAAAGTAGTTTTATAACATTAAAATAACATACATTTGATTCTAGAGTAGTCTAGATGACTTGTGCAAAATTTGGTTCGGATCTTCCACTGAATAAGGGCATAGGGGTAATTAAAATCTACTGGTGGGTAGTTCACCCCTAAGGTCCCTATGCAAGTGAAAATTGTTAACGGATATTTGATTCTAATGTAGTCTAGAAGATTTGTGCAAAGTTTGGCTCGGATCTTCAACCGAACAAGAGCGGTAGAGGTAATTAAAGTCTATTGGGGGGTAGTTCACCCACCAGTAGAGTCGGTCCCTATGCAAGTGGAATTTCTTTCGATAAATATATTTCTTATCATGTCTAGAAGGCGTATATAAAGTGTGGTTCTGATCTTCAAACCAATAAGGGCGGTAGAGCAAATTATAGTCTACTGCGGGGGTAGTTTACCCTCGCGGACCCTTTGCATGTGGAATTTCTTTCGATAAATATATTTCTGATCATGCCTAGAAGGCGTATGTAAAGTTTGGTTCGGATCTTCGAACCAACAAGGGAGCTGTAGCTAGTTATATTCATTAAAATTGCTGATTGTACCTTGATATTTGTGATAAATATATTTTAATTTTGTCTAATTACTTTTAATATACTGTAACTAACTTCTTAAGTTGATAATGTAATGTTTTTTTGTTCGAAAAAATTGAGCCCCCTCGTGTCCGGTATTACGGACGTCTATGGGTGTTCGTGTATCATCGGAAATTTTTACTGCTATCTTTTACTGCTGCCTTCACACCGGTGTAAAATGAGATACCGAAGACGACTAAGCAATAAAATATGAGGGGTGCCATTTAAAAAAATGAAGTTATGGTTCTTGCAAGTTTTGAAAAGTTAACGTGCCATAGTAAAGTGACCGAGCGTTGTAGACAGCCGTACTCGGAACCAAAACATACTCCATCATGTTGGTTATAAATACTAAATTGATATCCCAAAAATCGAGTGATCTCTGATTTTTTGAACAAATGTCTGCTGGAGCAGATTTTTCTAGAAAAATTCGAATAACTCGAGAATCAAATTGGCCGAATCAAATTGCAAAAAGTAAACATATTCATAAACTTTTAAAACAGACAAATCCAAATATGAATAAATATACAGGTGTTCCATTTAAAAAAATAAAGTAGGTGGCGACTTTCGGTATAACCGGAAGTGCTAGTAATCTGAAAATATTTTAGTCGAAGAGAACGTAATTGGTAATACAAATCTGAATTCTCAAATTTTCATTTTGGCTAGAACCCCAGAAACGTCTAATGAACGGTCTCACTGAGACACCTGTATAACCCCAATTAACAACAAAAAAAAAAGATAAATAATATATATTACAAATTACATTAATATTACATATACAAATTAATAAAAACGTAATTTTTGTTACTATTAATTATTACTATTAATTTTTATTACTAATTAATCAATTTTAGAATGTTTACTCATTTCGTGACTTTACACTTCTAAATAAGTTTCTTCGTTGAGTTTTTTTGCTAAAAAGTACAGTTCGCCCAATGCGATGACTATAGCGCAAATAATACCGAGTAAAAGTCGAAAACCCAAGTGTAAATTTCCAAGCATATACTCGAGACCGATAAATCCAAAAGCGAAGGTAATGGCGATCAACTGTCGATTGAGGTGTTTGACTTGGAACGCAATGGAATCGTCAGGATGACAGTTTCTAACGCTGTCCACGTTCTTAGTCATGGATTTATAACGCATATTTTCTTGTTGGATTTTTAACGTGTTGCACCGCTTCTCCAAATCATGATTTCTAGGAATGAAGTTGTTTCTAGGAAGAATAATTTGAGATGTTTCTAATAATTCTTGCAAATAAATTTTATTATCATGCTTTTTATTATGTTCTTTATCTTTATAATAATAATAATATCTCTTATGTTTTCGTATAACCAATGTATATCCTCCATATTTAACAATTTTTCGTCGTTTTTAACAGTGGTTCCTTTGCGTAAATCTTTTTTAATACCGTTTTCGGTTGTTTTGTTTAAACTTTTATAATCCTTTTCAGACCTTAAATATTGAAGTTCTTTAATTTCAGCATTACCCACTTTCCTATTTAAAATTTTTATACCATTAGATGCCTTATCAAAATCCTCAACCGAATTTATAAATTCCCAAACTTTTTTGGATACCTTCACCGCCACCGCTGGAATTTGAATCCTATTAGTCGACATTTTATACGGAATTTCTTATGTACTGGACTTCACCCAGCTAAGCCGAGATCGCTTGCAGTTGAGGCTCTACATTTATTATCATATCAATCCATTGCAGGGTTTAAGTTTAAGCTTACAATGTGGAATCTTATTTCAGACAATGGATAATTACATCGGCACACTGCGACATGCAATGATAGATTGCTTATTTAAACATAACAT